TGTGTTTTAATAGATTTTGGACAACACTGGATTTCTATATCTATATGCCTCAAAGGAATACGATATATCAGGGTTTGGCTACACAGACAACAGGGATGTCACCAGAACTGATACTTCGGTACCAAGTCAATGCTAAAACTCAGAACATGTGAAGGCACTTGTTTTTGTTTTTGTTTTGTACAGTGGTGTAGGTACTGAAGGTACCATAGACGTTGTTGGTACTGCAGATGTGATTCTGCTGAAGGCAGTAACCCTACAAGATACCTAGTTTGATAACAAAGTATAAGAGAAGAAGAAGAAGGCCGGCACAGTAAACAATAACAACAACAACAACAACAACAACAACAACAACAAACATGAATAGCAGCAGCAAGTGCGGGTGCAGAACAGGGGGGGGGGGGGGGGGGGGGGGGGGGGCACCGCAAGACAATGGACAAGATATAGACAAACAAACGCTTGTATGCACACAGTGCCACAGAAGGAAACACCTCAGACCTACCTAAGTAGCTCCAAGACAGGCGTCCGGACCTGTACAGAGAGTTCAGGGTGAGTGAGTTTCAGCTTTATATTAACAACATGTCGTAAACATGTTCATATCCTGAAATGTTTTCGTTATTCTGTGTGAATTAGGACAGCTGACATGTAGCAAAGCTCCACACACATAGCGTTTACAAAGGTTAATGTTAGCTTGTTTAGGCTAACATAGTGACGGCTCATAACGTTAGCTGGGTGCTCACAACATTAGCAGGCTACAGTAGTCACTGTTCAGTCTGTCATAATATAACGCTGACTTTTTAAATGAATATTTTCATAAGATTGGTCTGTCACCATGTTAGTCAATTTAAGCTTGCACACTGACTATATGGAGGTGCGTGCGTGCGTGGGGGCCGACAAGTGCGTGTGTTAGCAAACTGCAGCATCCTCTGTTATTTTCTATTTTCTGCTGTGGTATCGGAAATCTGGAAATGTGTTGGTATTGGTATTGACTACCAAATTTCTGGTATTGTGGCATCTCTAGCAGACATTACTTAAAAATAGAATGACATCAAGTGTTGGCAAAAAGAAAAATATACAATTAAGAAATACATTATACAAAGTTCTGGAAAAAAAACATTAATTCTCTCCATAGTATGAATCAAATTTGAATAATTTAGTCAGATTAAGCAATCAAAAGTGTTTCTCAGTTTCTTGCCTCATTAGTCTTCTCTCTGACTGCAGAATCACCCAAATAAATAGAGAAAAGGCAATTATCATAAACTTGATCCAATTTTTATGTGTACGTCTCCAAACTAATAAGCTATTATCATTCAACCTTCAATTTCCATCGTATGCATGGTCCAAATTCTGATATCAACTGGTCCAGCACACACACAGGTTTCCCAGTATACTTGGGTGAATAATTCAGAAGCCTTGAATGCTATTCACCGGGGCAAATTGCACGTCTAGCGGCCCATTCAAGTCTGCTACTACTCTCATAATAGACTACTGATTGGCCCATTGGAATGATATATTCTAATTCCATTAAGGCATCGATGACTGTATAATAGCAGTGCATGAGTCTCTGCACTCAGACAGTTTTTTTTTTTTTTTCAAGGCAATGTCTATGCACCTTATCGAGGTTATAACCAGAACACATTCACCATTTTTCCATCTGTCTACATTCCTTTGGAGCCAATGGCTGAAATGTTAATCATACTGAAAGACACACATGCAAATATAAAGTATGTGCACACACCCACACATACACACACACACACACACACACACACACACAGTCACCTCCCAGCAGGTTTGACCAGATGTTGTACGGAGCGACACGGTTTGACTAGGATGATCTGTCCCGGTGTTCCACCAAATCTCTCCAAAACACAAATATGCCCCAGTTTTCACAATGAGTCACACAAATGTCCCCATTTCCTCAAAATCTCATGGGCTATCTGTTACCTTTCTGAGCATGTAAAAGTGTTTCCCAGGCTTTCTTACACAGACGCTGCTGAGGGGATGATAATTGAAGTGGATGCTCCCCTGTGGAGAAGTCATTATGATTAGTTCTGGCCTGATGAAGGGTGGGAGACCCCGCTTTCTGCTCATCTCATTCTCAGGAGATAGAGAAAGACAACACTGGCATACACTCAGAAGCACAGACAGAAGCACACCATGAGCAGTGAATTGAATTACGCTATCATGGTGGTATTGTTTTGGCAATGTAACTGTTTATCTGTGTTGTCTGTGCAATAGTGCTGTAACTCAACCCTTTGTAATTTGTGGAGTCTAGAAACATAAACATTCAACCCCCTCCCTTGCTGCCTGGGATGGGGCGAGAGTCCAGCTAGAGGGCATTTCCATAAACATACCCACCCACACACACACACAATCACACACACATACACACAAACACAGTGAGGAGCAGGAGCAGGACCATAGGGATGAGTCAGACGGCCGTGGGCAAATACTGGCTGGGTTATCAGGGTAAATTAATGCGTAACAATGCCGGGATTCTACAATTGAGAACCACTGCTTCTTATTATTACAACTACAAACACAGACGAGGCAGACATACACACAGTGTAAAAATAAAACCCAGACAATCCAGATGCTTTGTTTGCACCTCCCCCATAAGCATCTTTCATGACCAGGTAGTGATCATCTCTCTCTTTTCTTCTTTTCTTTCACTCTCTCTGATTATCTGCATTATTTAAAAATGTATTAATAGCTGTTAGTTCATTCTGAGGACAACTGCTGTGAACTGATCCAGTACAGTGAGGCATGTCTAAATCTTCCAGCTTTTTTTTTTTGCCTCATATATTATTATGTATGCAGTTTTGTATTTCACTTTTTTTTTTTATTACCAAGTGTAAATCCCATTTGCCTTTATTTCTGTGTGCTTGTTGACTGAAATGGGTCATCATGCATCTAGCCTCGGGCATCAAGAATAGTAACATGTTAGTATTTTATTAATTTTTTTCTTCTGTCAAGACGAGGGCTTATCACCTCACAGGATTTGAGGCAGTGGAATTTGAAAAAAATGTTTAAAGGAAAAAAACTGTGAGCTGCGGAAGAGAACAAACAAACACAAACCATACTTAAACTGTTCAATTAGGAGGGTATTGTCATCTCGCTGTCAAGGTGTCATACAAAATCACTATAAAAGCAGCTGGGTTTTGTATCCCAAATCAGCAGTGGCAGTTAATCTCTGTCTTCACAATTTGAACTAACATCAAACACACACACACACACACACACACACATGCACACACACACACAGACCAAATAGAGAGAAATTGAATTGAATTGCATCTGTTGGTTACCCTTTTCTTTTCTTCCTCTTTTCTTCCAGTATGTCTTCTGTAAGACCTGTAAGTCTGCAGACAAAGTTTATAAATAGCCCTCTGATATTTCTCATGTAGGGCACAGCCAATCACACACAGATGTGGGCCAGGGTATTGAATAAATAATGCTTACTGGGGATTACCACTGCAGATGATTCTCTCCTGTATGCCTTTTGCTCCTTTTGGCACAATGTGTGTGGTTTTCGTGTGTGTAAGTGTGTGTCTGTGTAAGCGTGACATATACACTATCATGTCACTAAAGCCGTCGGGGGTCCTCATTTATATATAGGGGATGGAAAAGGAGTGTTTGGGTTGCTCATTTTGACTGGTGGCTTTAATCTGATTTTATATCCTGTGACGCAGCATCCAGTCACCTCATAACTGTGATAACCAATCTAAATCTTATTTGTTATAATCCACAGCTACTGGCTTACAACAACTACCTAAACTACCAATATGCTTGCTGTTGATATATATGAACCTGATGTACATGTGTGCATTCCGGACATCTGTGTATGCCTGCATATGTGTAGTGCATGTGTGTGTTGATCCACTTTAGTTAATCAGCTGACAGTTCAGTATTGATGTGCAGTGGCAAACAGAGCTCAGCAGTGAGTGATGATGAGAATATGACAGTAAGTCACTAGGTGCAGCTGTAACTCATGAGTCCAATAGCTTTAATGGACATGTAAAGACCACCGTGGTGGATACAGAGGACTGACTCAGCTCTGTGGCTACAGCCATCATGATGAAAGATCTCTGCAAGAGCTGGAACCTCGCAGCTACGAATCCACCACTGTCAAAACTTTGTGTGGGAAAAAAATATCTGGTAAATTTCGGCACTTTTTTGTGTGCAGACAATGAATCAAGTGATAGGATGATCAATATCTGTATGCATTAGCATTGTGCATGCTTAACTGCAAGGATGCATGCGTGTGTGTGTTTGTGTGTGTGTGTGTGTGTGTGTAAACTCCCTTTGTGTCCTAGTCCAGACAGTGCAGGGAGAGAAAGCTGGATGTGGGATTTCAAAGATAATCTCCCTACCAGATGGCAAAACATCCCATATTCCTTTTGAGGTTCCCCACGTGATCCCCTGTAAGGGCTGGGTGTGTGTTTGTGTGTGTGTGTGTGTGTGTGTGTGTGTGTGTGTGTGTGTGTGTGTGTGTGGGTGGTAGGGGTATATATGCTCAGACACAATTATTATTGGATCACGTGACTCGAGTGCGTATGCTAATAACAGCCGTAACATCACATTAATCCAGTGACCTGGTTAAGCCCCCAACTGAAGGAAGTGAGTGTGAGAGGCAAGGAGGGGGAGCTGCCAGAGAGCTGGAGAAGAGAGAGGAGAGACAAAGCGCGCTCCCTCTCGCTCTCACACACTCATTCACCTCCAGAGCGGCGGAGTGGAGCGTAGCTGAGCGGAGCAGCATGGGCAGTGTTTTAACACAGAGGGAAATAGAGGCAGAGAGAGGCACATAGGACCGGTGTGGGGCTGCTACAACCACCCACCAACACACGCTCACATCACACAAGCTTCTTTCCTGATACACACCCACGCGCAAGCTCGCGTGAACCCCGGCTGCCAGGCTGGACGGGACGGCGAGGACACCCACCTCACACACTTGCACCCATGCTCACACACCCACGGACACACACACTCTGGAGCGTACGATGGTGGTCCAAGGTGCAGTGACACCGGGGAGAACCCGCCGGCTAATGCTTAAACTGCCGGTGGGGACTCTACGGAGGAACAGTGGAGAGAGGGTAAGGCACAAGCTTCCCTGAATTCCTCATTTTCACTTTCTCTCTCCTTCTCTGACTTTGTCTCTCCCTCTCTCTGTGACCATGTCTTGCCGTGCTGTTGTGTGTGTAAGTGGGATTTAAAAAGGTTCTTGGCTAATCCAGGGAACGGTATTAGATTTGAGTTGGTGGAAGGCAAGTCAAGAGCAAAGCTTTTAATCTCTACAGTGGACAATGCTTCACTGTGTTTCTCTTCCTGACAGTCTGAGCCTGTCAGTCTTTCCACAGCTCATTCTGTCTCTGTCTCTGCTAATGTATGCCACCGCCGTCCCCAGTTTTCAAGGTTACAGGGAAGTCTCACTGTGGGAGAGCTGTGTTTGAGTGCAGCTTGTTTGCCTGTCACTGTCAATGCAATTGAACTGACTAGAGACATGAGTAAGCTTCCTTTTATCAAGCAAAGCTGCGCATTGCCTTCAGCTTGATTTAAAGTGCTGGGCTTTTTATATAGTGAAAAATCACTTTGTCTGTCGGTGCATCAGAAACCTCAGTGTTTGTGTGTTTGTGTAAATCTGGTGGGTGTGGGCTGACGACTGAAGATAATAGTTTCCAGCTAAGCTTAGATGTGGAATGCATGTTGCAAAGTTAACCTTTATGTTGTAAAGACAGGTTGTAACCTGCCAGATGATTCACCACTTTTGCTCTTCAGTAAAGTTGTTCACACCACGAGAAAACTGCAAACTCAAAGCAGCACATAAGTTTGCAGCTGTGAGTGTATGTGTGTGTGAGAGTCCCCCATGCATTTTCTCGGTGATGTGTGTCAGTGCTCTTTCATGCTGTAAAAACACTGGCATCAAGTGAATCAAACTTAAGTAAGGTGTGTGTTCAGGTGATGAGCGAGCCAGGCTTCCAAACTGCTTTCCAAAAAAATCACGTGGTGCTCATAGGATCGCACTGACTTGAATTTGATCTCGCTTTTGAAATCTCAGTGTTCCCACTTGATGTAATGTGTCTTCAGTTTCATTAACACACCCCTTTGAGGAAATGTGACTTCTAAATGCCATGAGCTCTTCTGAGAATCGCCGGTCGCTTTGTAGTTCTCTCTTTGATTGAACGTGTGCTCAGAGGATACAGTAATACACACAGGCGCGCACATACTTCACACATGCTATCATAAATTACACAGTGTGGCTACTGTATGTTGGATGAAACGGCTTTCACTTTAATAAGCTTAGACATGCATATTCCAACCCTCCAAAAAAATAACTGCTATAACCCTCACATCTCCGTAAATACATAAAGCACAAGCTGATTGATTTGCAGAAGATAGCTTTTGTAGTCACTGCACTGTAAGAGTAAGTCCTCTCAAGTAAGAGACTTGAGAATGTCTTGTTCTGATCCTTTCAGGTCTCACTTTTCATAGTCTTCAGGTTGAGTGTCTCACTCACTCACTAACTGAATCTGGCTTGCTGTCATAGTAGTGCATGATTGGAGGAAACAAAGTAATCACTGTCCTTTAGAGAAGTAATTGCTGCTGGCTTTAGTGATGTCCCTCACTTGTAAGTTGCTTTGGATAAAAGCATCTGCCAAATGACTAAATGTACATGTTAATGTAAATGGTTGATTGGCTGGTGCGCACACACACACACACACACACACACACACACACACACACACACACACACACACACACACACACACAGTCAAATCACCTTAATTAACAGAGAAAAGCAGATTTTGTCACAGGAATAAAGGAAGGTCCCTCTCTCCCTCTCTCTCTCTCTCTCTCCCTCCATCCCTCCCTCCCTCTTTCCTGATTGCATCCCCTTTCTCTGCCTCCCATTCCTCTTGCAGCCAGCTGTGTGTAGACAGGCTGAACGGGGATTACTTGTTGTGATGATTTACATACACTCACTCACATAACTGTTCTGTTGTGCTGGAAAAATAGATGGATGTGCACCCACTTGCTGTGTAAGGTAGTGAATGCATGAGATTTTCAGAATATCATCATCTATTAAACCAAACAGGCACACAACACAGTTTTAAAAAGAGAATTTAAATCCTCAGACTTTCTGACTTATTTCTCTTGGTGATGGCAGGTGAACAAAGCTCAGTGATCTACCGGTTTCTTCCCCTGAGGATCTAAGAAGGCTGACTGTCTGTTGAGTTATGATTTTACCTTCCCATGTCCTTAGTGAGGCTCTGAAATACTTTCACTTCTATATACACAGCTGCAGCTTTGTCCTGCTCTGACATGTCACGTTAGATAACTCATTGCGTTATCATCCAGTCTCCGCCTTATGCAACTGTGTGAGCTGCATAGAGGAGTACATGCATACAGAAAAAAAATATTGACAAAATCTGTATCTATACGCATCTGTGCCCTGTCACAAAACTAATGCAGATGAATTGTCTCACGTGTGTGCAGTTTCTGATGGATGTGGGTTTCACATCCCAGTTAATTGAGTAATATCTACAGGGATAACATAGCCATCTTTGTTCACGGCCAGCAGCTATGACACATCTGAATAAAACACGCCTCGTTAACTGCAGAACAATAAAAGAGGTGACAAACTTGATTTCTACTCTTTTTCTCTCTCCATGAATCATCTTCTTATCTTAACCTTATCTTCTCCTTCTAAGCTTCTTCATATGTTGACTTGCCATGCCTTTCTCCCCCTCATGCCCCCTTTCTCTGCATCTTGCATAACTTTCATTACAAGATTAGCCCTGAGAAAGTAAAAGTGGCAGCAATGATAGAAGTGGTTTATAGATAGTGGAAGGGTTTATAGATAGAAACACTATACTGACTGTTGACAGTGTAATATTATGATTATAAATTGCACAGTTGGTGTTGACAATTTAAAACAGCTTCTTTTTTGGGGATGTTTTCTGTTTAGATTACCTCTGTGAGCAGGCTGTATTAGGATTATCCTCTGCCTTTGTCATCCTGCTATCGTGTTAAGCTGCTCAGCTCTTTTCTGTGAAATTAAGAACAAAAACAACAAACAAACAAAGGGAAGACAAGATGTGTGTGTTTACGCAGACGGAAAACAGCTCAGATTTTAGGCGGCTAAATTGCTCTCCAAGGAAACATGTTGTTGTCAGGGGCACCGCAGGGGAGCGAGGGTTTAAAGGTGGGAGGGGTGGATCACTGTCAGAGAGGGAAAAGTTCACACACACACACACATATAGAGACGTGTACACATGCTCAAAACACACATTCATGAGCAGGATAGGAATGCAAACAGACAATGGCATGACTGTAATTTACCACTATAGGCTTGAAAGCTAGAGGCAGCCAGACAAGTGGTGAGGCAGGAATACTAATCGATCCTTGTTACATTTAAACATCTTGTCTGCACCAATCACAGAGAAGGTCAGCACTGGACTCCGGCATTCTGCGGGTCATGTTGATACTCCGCTTGTTTCTCATCAGGCTGATCTAATTGTCTTGATATTAGAGTCAGGATTCATTTAAGCAGCTGTGACGTTGATGTGGAAAACCAAAGGAGCAGCATTCAAAATAAGTTTGTTTATTTTTTTTTTCTTTACCAAATAGCAGTTTAGAGTGGCAGTTTGAGATTTTTCCCCCACAGCTCTGCCCTGCCTCGCTACAGTATTGATTCCCAGGGATCTCAACCAGCCCTAAAGACTGTAGGTGAGAGAGCTGTGGTCAGTCAGTCCAATTAAAGAGACAAAGAAAAGGGGGAGAGTAGGGAAGAAAGAAAGAGAGAGGTGGGAATAACTGGAGCTAAAGGCTCCTTTAGGCCCCCCTTGCACCACACCCTGTTCAGCATGAAAGGGGACCCCCCTTTTCTCCCCAAAGGCAGCTCAGAAGGAAGAATGTTTTTGAGCAAGGGAGGAGGGAGAGACGGGAGACTCCCACCCGTCTCTCCACCCCGTCTCTTTCATCACTCTCTGCTCTGATTTTTTTTTTTCCATCTTTTATTCCCTGTCCAAAATCAACCCGCAGACCTATAGACACACAGCTGTGTACGAGTTCAAAGTAAATCTGTACAGAGCACGATCAAACAATGAGGAGATGATCGTCTATTGACTGTGAGTGAAGGCTGAAGGCACTGAGCTGCTGATAATGTGTTTTCTCTGTGGAGACAGTTTGCTAGCAGGGTAGCTATAGTGAGAGTGGACTCCTCTGTCCTCTGCCAAAACATCCCCAGTGCATGCTGAGATATGCGTGTGTGTGTGTGTGTTTGTGTGTTTGTGTTTGTGTGTGTTCACATCCTCTGCCACCTCCATGCAGAGCTCAGAGTGATTTCTTCATTATCTCTGCTTCTCTATTCTCAGAAATGGCTGCAAGGAATCCTTTTGAGAGAGAGAGAGAGAGAGAGAGAAAGAAAGAAAAAAGAAGAGTGTGGGATGATGGGAAGGAGTCTGTTAAATTCCATCTCCCCAAAACAGGATGTAGAGACCCCAAAATGTTCTTGAAATATCCCAGCACAAAAGTGCCTTTTGTTAGACAGAGATAACACGACCCAATGAGAACGGAGGCACTGTCTGTGACTCATTCATATGAAGGGGTTTATTCATAGTTTGTGCGTGTGTGTGTGTGTGTGTGTGTGTGTGTGTGTGTGTGTGTGTGTGTGTGTGTGCGTGTGCGCGTGTGCATGTGTGTTTGTTGAACAGTCTGTGAATCCTGCTATGACAGAATAAAAAGGAAAGCTGGGGAGAAAAAGAAAGAAAATGCGTTAAAGACTTTGTTGAGGATGTTTGATGCAGCAGGACTGTGTGTGTGTGTGTGTGTGTGTGTGTGTGTGTGTGTGTGTGTGTGTGGGCGTGAGTGACAAAGAGACAGAGCGGGAAAGGGTTAGAAAGAGAGAGAGAATGAGAGAGGTGCAGCCTCTTGTTTTCCCGTGGGTGTACTGCAGTAACATAGTAATCCTCATTAATATTTATCTGCCAGGCAAAGTGGAGAGAATGATTAGCTTGAGTGTGTGTGTGTGTGTGTGTGTGTGTGTGTGTGTGTGTGTGTGTGTGTGTGTGTGTGTGTGTGTGTGTGTGTGTGT